TGATAAAAAAAAAAAATTAAAATGAAATTATAATGATAGAAAAATAGTAAATTAAAAGATGTCTTAAAGTGCTTCAAATAAAAGTACCTGTGGAACTGTGACCTTGAACTTTGACCCTTGACCCTGAAATTTTAATGATTTACATGATCACATGTCATAATGAAACTACAACAGGATTAAGAAGTGCCGAAGATTTTTCATTAACACTTGATATCCTTTTTCTGTACATGATCAGAAAATACTTTGGTGTAACACTGAAAAACTGTTACATACTATCAAGGTCACAGTTCGGTCACAATTCAAAAACCGAGGTCTTTCCCTATGTCTGAGAGCAATCAAACTGTAGAAATTCTCTTGTATCAAAGTTTAACAAGTTACAACATTTCTTCAGGACAAAATGACTATCTATTCTACTTTTTGTTTTGTCAGAATCTGAATGGCTATTGTACAGGTGTCAAATAAGAAATAAAATATTTTACCATAACAATAGACCAAATTGACCGTTTCAAACCTAATTTTGGACAAACACCATTCACATTTTCTCATACATTCAGATGTAAATTTGTAAAAGCTGACCTCCCAACAAAAATTACCATACATTTGTTGGCACAAAAAAACTAAGGAATGCCCGGACATATACAATCAACAAACACAGTGATAATTTGAGATTTTGCTGATTTCGAGACAATGATGAACTTTTGCTGATTTATAGATATTGATGAAGATGGGCGATTTATTATTAACATTTAAGTTTTATTGATTTAGAACTGTTGATGAAGCTTTACTAATATAGAACTGTTGATGAAGCTTTACTGATTTAGAACAGTTGATGAAGCTTTACTGATTTAGAACAGTTGATGAAGCTTTACTGATTTAGAACAGTTGATGAAGCTTTACTGATTTAGAAGTGCTGATGAAGCTTTACTGATTTAGAACAGTTGATGAAGCTTTACTGATTTAGAAGTGCTGATGAACCATTGCTGATTCAGAAACATTGATGAAGCTTTTAATAATCTACAATATTTTAAATTTGTTTTTTCCCAGTTTAACAGGGTACAAACTGGTCTTTGTTATTGATTAAAACATAGCAGGCTTTCCTAATGAAATCCCCACAACTTTCTACAAGTCTACAAACTGCTCCACACAGTCTCACTCTCTGTCCTTCTTAGAATCCAAGGTCTCAGTCGATACTTTTCTTCTGTACACTATCTCAGGGGCAACCACTTCAATTTCAGATTTACATGGTGGGTGTTGTTGAGGAAGTAGAAGACATACTTCTGGAACACTTGGTCTTATTTTTCTTGTACTGTTTCAGAAGTCTATAAAATCCTCCTTTTGCTTGCCCTAGTTTCCTCAAATCAAATTTGATTTTGAATTAACCGATGGAAGTATTCTGCTGTTACCTTGCCGACAACTTACAGAGAATTTTATTTATGATCAGTTAGCAAAAGGAAACTTTTCAACAATGGCTCTCCACTGCAACTAAAAGTCAGAAACAGAAGATCTGTAGTGAAAACTTTTCTATCATTCCAAAGTAACTTATAAATTCTTATTACTATATATGGGAAAACCCAAGAAGCTTTTGTCCTCACAAGGATCTTCTTTTTCTAGGAGTGTTAAATTTGTCCCCAAATATTATCGCAATATTGGCCAAAGGGCAAAACAAGCAAAACTTGAAGCTTTGGTGAAAGTATCCCCATAAACTATAATCACAAATTAAAGCAGCAATTTGTCATAAAGATGGAAGGGCTTGTAAAAGCCATCTTGTAACAGCAAATGAAAACTGTCGCCAAGAGGTCTCATCGTGTTCAGAGTGCAAGTGTTTACCATTCCACAGCTCACCAGACTCCCAGGCTAGTACATGTCCTGCTATTAGTGCTATTGAACTTAATGTGAATACAGCTTTTTCAAAGTCCTTGATTTTGTGTCATATGTCATATAAGTCAAATAGTCTTTAAATCTGGTTCACTTGCAAATCTGGTTCACTTGCAACTTGAATTTTATTGGATATTTAATTTATGGTAGCAAATCAAAAGAGGTATGTAGTATTATATTGCATTTTCATTTGAACAGTTTACACATTTTCCCATTTCTTCATTTTACAGAACTAATTTGTAGTACAACATCTACATGGTTCCTAATATTTCTTCTGGTTCATCAAAGTGTTTTGGTCTTGCCAGAAAAGGTACATGTCTGATAAAGTATCTTGAAAAATCTGCTTCCACATTAAATTTTTCATACTTATCGAATCTGTCATAAAACTAGAAAATGTCATTAGGACAGCACTATCGTTCCATTTCTAAATATCATTAATGCACAAATCAAATGTGATTTTTGACCTTTGACTGATGACCATCTTAAGACTTCAGGGTGTAAAACTTGATGTTATGATACTGTAGTGTAAATATAAACCAAATATGATGAGAAATTCTCAAGATATGATCTCAAGATATGAATTTGTTTCAGAATGGACATGACATCTGAGATGGGGTGGATGGACAGACTGACATGAGTAAAACTATGATCCCTCCCATTACAAAATGCCCTGGAGACTGTCAGATGTAAAACACAAGAAAACAAATTTAATCCTTGTGACATATATGTAAACAAAAGCCTAGTGATAATACACAACCCATGTGATGATATATAAATATGGATGTAAAATGTAATCCTAAAACATATTCCCCAAGAGGCAACATGCACTCACATCATCCTGGCGATATCAGCGATATATTTTGTAGCCCTGGAGACAAAAAAATCCCTATGCCAGACCATAAATAAACCCTACAAACAAAGTGACGTTGTGCAAACCCTTGTGACATCATCTAACCCTACTGACAACATATCACACCTGGACACCATATACCTTTGGAGATATAAACAATATGGATACATGGAGTATTCCTGGCAAAAATAACACAAGGCCAAAAGTACTCAGATTATTTGTAATCAAAATGGCAACATGCGTTCCAGAAAATAAATTATAACCAGAGGCACTAAACAGATTTCAATCAAACCACAAAGAAAAAAAGCAGTAATGCAAATCAGTTGTACAAATGTAGACCAGATTATTTATCTTGGACTAGACAATTGAGAATAATACCATCACATCCAAGAATTGGGAGCACATTAACATTTATCACAAATTATAGAACAATGAATTCCTTATAAACAGATTCCTTGATCTAAGTAACCATTCAGGCCTAGGTCTCCACCATATTGAAAGTAGAACTGAGAATATCTTAACGAGAAATTCTGAAATCACTGCACATTACTACTATCCTGACCAATTTGTAATTTCGTTTCAGATTCTATGAAATGCTTAAGGATTGGAAGAGCAAAATATTAAACAAAGGGAATCCAGTTGGAAAATAATCAAGTGGTCAAAAGAAGAAGCTATAGAAGACCACCAAATTTGTTTACTCCTGTGTCAACTAGACAGCTACGCCTTTCCTTCAACAGTATACCACATAGAAGTTTCCGTGGATGAAGCAGGATTTATATCATGTTTTTCTTTACCGAGCTTTGCAACTGATTTGTATTGTTTTGAAGACGAACATAATATAAACCTGGAGCTGAGTCCCCTAGTGGAGCAAAAACCCTTGGTTAATCCATATTGCACCAGCATAAACATTTCTTCTTAAAGGTTGTGAATAATTTCATGTATGATTTGGATCAAAACTTCTTCATTCCAGGATTTAATAGGACCCCCAACAATTGTCTTAAAGGGCAAAGACAAGACCCTTTGGTATCTTGTAACATGACTGTATTCACCTTTTCATACCCAACAGCAAACTGTATTATGTCCAAAATCCCAAAGTCAAAGTAAGGGGACCAGGATGTATTAAGCCAAACCTGCTTGCATGATTCGTCGATTCAAGTCCTTTTAGAAAACGCCTGTGTACTTTAATTAATCCAGATTTCAAAATCTCAATAACATGAACGCAGAAAAGACTTGGTAGTTAATTTCTAGTGAGTTCCTGAGGCTGATCACATTATGTTGTATATACAAATATTTAACTCCTGATGCCTTGCATGCATGCTGATTGAGGGAGGGAATTCCAGCCATTACTAAGTTGTGATGCAAGGAAAAATCCCCATGGTGGGGACGAGAGATTCAGATCACCTTCAGTCAGTAGCATGTCTCTTAATGTCATTTGTAATTTCTAGCTGGGCTCTGTAATGGGAATGGATTCTAATGCAAACCAAAATAGGATTTAAAAAAAAAAAAATCTCATCTGTCACCGATGTGCCATGCATTTCAACTTTCCATTTAAGTAAGCAATGTCCAGTTGAAAAAGATTGGCCTTTATTTTGCATATCGGGATTGAAATTTGATTTCTTCTGCACTAAAGTTTTTTTGATGTCTACGACATTTAATCTCTTTGGTCCAGTAATATTTTTGACAAAGATTGGCCAGATCAAGTTTGGATTATTAGTGTTTTACGGAGACATGATGAAGTCTGATGCTGTGTATGCCATCTCAAAAGCCAATATAGAATTGAGCTAGTGGAGCAAAACTTGACCAAAACAGTAGAATTTGTCACACAGACTGCAGATTGTTACTGATCATTTTGTTGTCTTTCCTCTTCGATCTCGTATACATCAAATGACTTTTTATAAATGGTGGGACATCGGTTACAGATTTTTCAGATCACCACTACCTTTTTTCTTTCTTTCTTCTGAAATCTCTTCTAAATAAGTTGACTATTTATTAGTGATGTGTCATCCAAAATCGACAATCAGCCATAATGAGATAAGTTTATTAAAGTATTCAATTGATTATATAATTAACTGACTGTGTGTTCGAAATTCCGAGAGAGTAAAAATATTCCCTGTTGCAGTCATATTCTAGTGTTTGTGATTTTATTGCCTCACATAACAACTCACAGCTGATTTAAATATAAAATAAGTTAAATACATCAGATCATTGTGACATCACTAATAAATATTCAAAGGGTAGGATGAATAACTAGAGACTAAAGATGGTTTCTACTTACATAATCATGAAATGCTTTAGCTTCACTTGAGTGATCACAAGTTTCCCGCCTTTCTGGTGCTGCACAGTATAAATCCCAAAACACGCTGTAAAACAAATATACAAAAAGTAAAGATTTAACCAAATCTGTATTTTCAGAAACAGTTCACCATCTGGTCTTTGCTTTCCAAAAATTATAATGTTTGAGTGACTTTGCTCCACACTCAAACGGAACATTTTCAAGAACAGATACAAAGCTACCTTCCATAAAAAGATGTTCTTGATAAAATGTGGTCAAATCCTTTTATCTCTATTGTATGGGGAAGTTTTGAAATCTTGCTTTTGTTGTTGGGCCCTGCATCATTTTGCTCTGAAAGGGCTACGGTGGTGTCACCTTAATTGTTGAAGCTCAATGCTAACATGACAAACTGACACTAAAAAACAATATAAGATCACATGTTCTTTGAACCATGGGAGTAACAAAGAGTGATCAACCAGTACTTTCTCAACTCTAGAACATGACCTAGATTCAGAGTATACATGCAAAGATAAACAAATTAGTGAAAATATGACAACTGTAGGAGACCCATGACATAGCTGAAAACATAACAACAACGAATACATGAAGAGTAGGTGGACATTACCATCAACAGTAATTCAGTCTATAGCATGATGCCATCCCAAATGGCACCACTCCTATATACAAAATTTGACAATTATAGCTGCCTGGGTATATAAAATATGTCCTGGATAAAGCATTTCTTTAACAGGTAGGAGTACAAACCAATAGTGCCTTCCAGTTTATTATTGGTATGGGACTATTTAAGTCACATTTAGGTTTGAAGAATTGCCATCAAACATTTCAGTTTTAACACACAAGGGCGGAAAAAGACTTTAGACTACTATACAATTAGGTTCAACAAAAACCTGAAGGAATTGCTCAAAACATTTAAGAAGGTAGGTCAAATCTGAAGGATGATCAAATAATTTTAGAAAAAAATAGCTCTTCTGCTTTCATATGTACATCTAGTCGGGTAAATAAAATGAACTGTATACTGACATTTTTAACTAGCAACACTTCAAACTTGAAGAATTTTGAATATGTATGGAGCAGACAGAAACAAAATATTCACTTAGGTCCATTTCTGAGAGCTGATAGGCAAATAGTTAAAAACTTCTAGTACAGCAAAAATTCCAACATCCCACTGTATTATATACAATACGGATATTTTGGCTACTGTAATATAAATGTTACTTTAATATTCAACTCTAAACATGCCAATACCTTTAAATCTACCTTTTTGCTGAAATACTCTCTACAAACAACATATTCAGAAATGGCATTCATAGGGTTATGAATATAACTAATCATTAGATAAACCTGCAGCGAAATACGCAGCCAGTCTGACTATTGCCCTTCATATTCACGACCAAGCTATTCATACTTAATTCCTCCAATTGTATGTGCTTCTTTTAAATTTGATCTTGTATCAAATAACCAATTACAAAAGAGCAAAACATCTTGTTGATTCCTGAAAAACATGAACTGCCACAGGTAAGAAGTGTTGAACCACACATCTAGGACCTTTCCCCAAGGTAACATAGGTCCCTCTCTCTAACCAACTGAGCTATTTCAGCCCCTGAAATACTATGTTGTGATTATAAGCATCTGTTAACATCCATACTGATTTATGAACTCTTAATGTCAATGCCTATTTGCCATGCTGTTCATGGAGCATGGATACAAAATGAAGATCCACAAATGAACACCGTGGAAAACTTTTGTAAAAATTCTCCGATGGATAACATGCTATTTTGTAGCAATGCAGAGGGACTGGCTACATTGGAGAAAGCTAACACCAGATCACAATATTTCTGTTAAGAATCTTTATGACCATCTACATCCTTTCTTATCTACAACATCTTAAGGATTAATCTCCAGGTAGAAATGTACTATAACCTACATTAAACACCGTTCATTTCAAATGTCATCTAACCTGTAGCAGTATCACACTTTAAACTACCAACTGATGTGACAGTTACCATAAACTGATTTGTTTATGTTAAGTACCATTCACATTACTGATCATCTAAAGTGCTGATTTCTTTTGACAGAAAGATTTGTATTTGATTTTGTAAAATCACCAAATTTAGACCTTCTGAATATTTGCCCGTTAGCCATTTTCTTTGTGTCTCCAAACAAATAATGAAAGAACGAAACATAAAGCTTCTGCAAATAATGATAGAACAAAAAAAATGACTGTCTGTTATGATGTTCCTCATTATTACAAACCAAAATAAGGATCTAAGAGGGTCCTGTGTATAAAACTAGAGAAAGACATGTTCAGTTCTTTCCAAACAATAGCAATGACAATCTATGATCTGAAATCAAATATGGCTTCCTGATGACCATTTCATCCCTCGACCTTCAACCAATCTATCTAATCCTAATTTTACAAACTGGTTACAACGGAAATCTGTGTTAAATATCTGTTCACTCCTTTGTGAAATACAACATCAAGAGAAACTTCATAGAAATCAAAGAGGCCCCTCTGCTGGTCAAGCAATTTTTCATATATAATCAAATGAATAAATTGCATAAGTTGAGGAAACCTTTGTATACATGTATTCGTTGAGTTTATTTTTCTTTTACTTCTTGTTAACAGCTACCGTCATTTACGGATGTGCCATGTTTGGGTGGTGGTGGCGATCAGATATTCAGGGAGAAGAACTAAAGTTATGCAGTCAGTGCATGACGCCTGTCTAAAGAAGGCCTCTAACATTCGACCCAGACATGAAGGGCTAGTGATAAAGACAGTCAGACACCCAAAACATTTGCGCCCCCCTGTGCACATGCAAGCAAAATTTGCCAAAGATCTTTCATTGAGACAAGAATGGTCAACAAATGTAATGGAGTCGTATCTTTGACCAGGGATCAATGTGGAACAAGATTTAAATACAGTTGCACATCACACAATATTTCCCTAAATTGCACTCTTTTTGACCATTCTGTCCCGACAGGTTCCCTTGACTCAGGATCCTATATGATCTTTAGATTAAATCACTTCACCATCACCAAAAGAGAGTCGTCATCTAAAAATATCAACCTTTATATTTCCATTCTAAAACCCTAACCCCACTTTTCCTCAAGGGTTACCATGACACTTGTATATTATGGAGTCTTGTGTGCACAAGAACATCAAGATTTTGGTTGAATTTGATTCTTGGCTAGTAGGTTTTAAGCCTACACAGCATCAGCTCACTTGTCCTCTTGTCTGGTAAACAATGAAGACAAATTCTGAGGAAAGAGGATTCAATTTTGTGACATTCCTCCTTTATGTAAGATTGTCTGTGCAGCAGGTAGATCTAGTCATTCACTGAGCTGGCCATCAGTGATACATCTGCCTGGGTATTAGCTCCAGAAAGATTCTGGGCATGGCTCCAACATTTAGGTGGCAACATCAAGATTTTTGGTTAGAAATGGTCATGTCTTCAGTTGAGCATTAGTCATACATCTGATTTAGACTAGTCCATTATTCTTTTTTAAAATCTGCCGATGTACAAGCATTTTTTTTCTTATTCATGAAACTGGACCAAAAGAGGAAATGGATTATTGCTTATCCATTGTTTTAAAGTTAATCCTCAAATCAGCTTGAATGAATTGGGATCTAACTGGAAATTCCAACAGAAGACAAAAACAGGTAATAGGTGGGGAAATATTGGTGATATAGAGCTGACGTAATGAGAACTTCTAAATGATTGATATCAACCAGCTTTATTACTGAAGGTGATTCAGTGTAATGTAAAAATATTTGAGTCTTTTCTACATCTTCAACCTCAATCCTTCAAAATGGACTAAACAGTAAGTTGAAAATCATGTCATCAGTAAATCCAAGCCCCTATGTACAAAGATGAGAATAACAGCACCACATCCACAACACTAAACCAGCAGGCTCTTAGCTTAAACGATCATGCAGTGGAACAAAGCAGGTCTAATTGTTCCTTGAACATTAACTTTTGACACCAAGTGGGCTTAGCAAAATATCAACAATAAAACTTAAAACACTATATTAGAAGGCAATAATAAGCATAGGTTATAAATGGGTTGGAGGATAAACCACCACCTTGGCATATTCATTGAAAGTATGCAAGGGCTGGGCATACCACTGATGGGCAAAACAGAAAACTTGACCTGAATTATGCATTTTTAATATACAGGTCTACACTGTAAACTTTGTTAAGTATGATTAAAGGAGCAGCCCAAACAACTAATGCTTTAAGCATATGATACAATTTATCAACAAATGCAATGAGAAAACCTCTTGTTTCCAATTGTGTAATATTTTGTATTCCTAACTGCTCAGAATATATAAAGTCTACATAGATCACTGGTCCATACAAAAGCAAATATAGTACCATCATACTGAAACGCCATGACCTGTACAGGAAGAGGTTAAGCAGAGTTGAAAAGGTACAATAAATTGCAATGGGGTCAGTCTAATTAAGGTGTCTAGGAGACTCTGTAGAACCTGTGACTTTGCAGAAAACCAATTTCAGGTATTAGACATGTTTGTTCTTTTCTTTGACCAGCACAGGTAGCATTTTTGACTAGGTAAGCCCCATCAAGAGATTTCAGAATGTAGTATACTGGTAGATGATCACCAAATGCCTAAACTGTTGATTGGATTTGGTATACAAGCAGACTGACCTTTAACAAATTAGACATACACTGTTCACAGAAAATGACACATGGTCTGGATTGAACATTGAACAAATTAGAGAGCATGCAGTCACGCACCATCAAATGAGTGTAAACAAAGGAGCTGAAGTCAGTGATGCTGGTATCTGTTGATCACTAATCCATAGAAAACAATTTCATAGAAAAACAGGTGTCCTAGGATGGACCACCGTCAGAACCTTTTATAGTGTCATCTCTGGACAAGTTATCATAAAACTCCATCCAGTCACATTGTACTGACAACCATTCCTTGAGCATCCCATTCAATAACCAACAATAAACACTGAGCATTCATGACTCGCACCCCATTTTGGGACTGGGTCCCGGGGCCCTTAAAATTAGGAAAAATATCGGCGTTTTCCTTAGAATTGGGGAAAAAAAAAACTATTTTGCATTGGGAATTCGGCCCCAAATCTGGCAGATCAAGAGCCCTGGCATTATGCTAAACATCAACAGAGATGGCCACAAGTCTGATAAGATAGGTGTAAACTGCCAGCTCAGTGCAGTAGGAGACTTTTCAAATGACAGACAACTTTTATCTTACAGCATTCAATGAATCGGAAGTTGAGCAGTGAGTGACAAACTGATCTGGAAAACATGGAAACAGGCTAAAAAATGGTTTGGAAACCTTCAACACAGTTTATTGCAAAGTTCAACAAAGACCATTCCACTCTGTTATTTAAGAATACTACAAAATTACAGTGGAGTAAAAACTGGTTAAAGTCAGAAGATTGAAAATGCAATGTGGCAAGATAGAGATTTGAAACTGTGTTGTCCGAATAACCCATCATCAGCTGTTACCTGGCTCTACTGCATAACAGAATTAAGAGATGAGCACCTACGAAAGATGACAGGAAAAACGTTGTGGCCAAACAGAGATTCTAAGCTAGAATGTCTGAACAGACGTCACCAGCAATTTCTCTGTCGACTCGAGCAGTGGCAAAGCACTCACTTTACACTTGATGTACAGGTTTCTGATTCCCAAAAGGGCATGAAAACATACGAGGTCACCTGCCCGACCACATGGGATTTCCCTGGGTGTTCTGGTTTCGTCCAACAGCAATACCAATCATGCACTTCCATTCAGGTCAACAAGAATGATTAATACAAATTGAAATAACTTAATTAGCAATTGGTCTTAACCAAAGTGAATTTTAATTCTGTAATTTTGGTGTATTTTCGCTGTTGTGCTATACTGCTTTGCATCAAAATCACAAGTATTAAAAGCAGGGATGTGGACCATGTGGGGGGTGGGGTGGGGTGGGGGGGAGGGGGGGAGTGTATTGAAACAGAACATTCTCCAGATTTTTAAAGTTTTACATGTAAAGTTAAATCAAAATAAGCTAAGAGGATGTTAAAACAGTCATAATCCTGTAAAAAACACACTACCTGATTTTCTAGACCTAGACAGATGATACTGGACACTACATCATACTGACAACAGTGAAGTATATGCATGTAGCAGCTCAATCCCAGCAGTACATTTTATTGACTGATGTTGAGGTCAATGCATGTTGTTATGAACCCAAAGACTATGCTTACATCAACATGTTGCGAATATTGGGTCTCAGATTATGATGACCAAAACTACTGTATTGAGGGTATAAAACAAATTAATTGATATGCTACCTTAGTAAACCAATATCTAAAAACTTTTAATTACCAACTGAAAATTACATTTAATAAAGAAATCTATCACATTTCAAACATGTTGAGTGTTTGTGTGTTTATGTATCTATGTGCGTGTGTTTTTTAAAAGTTTTCTGATAAAACAGTAAGGATTATTACTCACCACCACCAGGAGTGTAGAAACCCAGGCGGTTCCCCTAATGTTATGTTCTTTTCCCATCGTATCTGAAAGAGAGAAATTGTATCTTAAAAATATATTCAACAGGTAAAAATCATCTATTCAATTGCCATGAACTGATATAATAAAGAAGACATTCTGTCATATTGTTTTTTTTTTTTTTTAATTTATTTGAAATATTAATGATGTTTTTGAGAATTTTTTTGTGAGTTATCAAATTGTTAGATTGGGTATGTCGTGTGGGAATGCTTAGTCTACATACCCACATGTCATTGTCTTTGCTAATTATTCCACTCCTAACCTAAAACAAAAGTCAGAATATCTTTTTATTATATTATTGAATGTTAGCTTGAACCATGGTTATTTATTTCACATGTTTATGATCTACTGTTAAATGTGAATTAAAAACAACCAAATAATCATATAAATTGATGTATTGAAAACTTCCGATGATGTTCATGACTTATGTGTCACTTTCACAAAATACAATGATGGACACATGCAATGGAGTCCGGTTTCATAATACACAGCCCATCAGCTGGTCCAAATACACATGTATACACGCGCATACAGGTGAATATCACCGGCACATGGGCAATACTTACTTCTGATAAAAACGTCTGTGCACTTTTCTGTGCTCCGACATGGAGTAGGTATTCATATACATAAAGGGCTAACCTGCAAAGACGAGACAGACAAGGAAATGCATGAGCAGATTGTTTATTTACAATTGGACACAATGGACAAAACTGGACAATTGCCCGACACATGCGTCCGGTTCGAATAGATTACCGGCGTTAGAAAGTCTATTGATGTAAATAAATTGTATATACAGTCCCTATCATCTTTACTTTACTTATAAGTGTAGAGATACAGTTCCAAATTTACTTAAATACAACAAAAACATGATAAATTTGGGCAGTTCCACATGCGATTTCACCGCCATTGAATGGGTATGTTTAATAACGGGAACAGCCATTCTGGGCTCTATTTGAATGGGGCATCCCTCTAAGCGCAGGTGGATAATACTGCAGAAATAAACTCAAATCAACCATTTTTCGCCAAGAAAATCAAAAAGGAGTCATTGACAAGTTCCATCGAAGCCATAAATTCGAAAAATAATTTTAGTTCACTTACTTTTCTCTTGCCTGTGCATCAGAGGGTACAGTCGATCCTTTCCCTTTGGCGTACATGCTGAGAGCTGAACTGCCATGCACCTGTCAAGTCATCAAGGGCGACACTGACCCCGTAGTCGTGGAAACGTGAAGTAGGGCTGTCGAAAGGCGCACGCCGATTAGTTAGTTAATTATAGTAGCACTGGGGTATCTGGAAACCGTCTACTGAAACATTGTGCGTTACAGCGACAAAGACTGGTTGGCTCTCTGCCAATATTACCAGCCCGATATTTATTTCCAACCGACGAAGTTCGAGTAAGAAATATTCGGGACGTGGATAGCATTGTTTGACCCCACGAACATAGGTGTACGCTGATGTTGTTTACATAAACTGACTGATGCTATATGATTTAAATATATATTTGACAAAGACACATAAAATACTCATTTTAAAAAAAGTTCACTTGATCTAATTCATGATACTTACAGATATTGTACATATCACATTTTTTTCATAATTATAAAATTTATAGTAAGATTTCTTCAGAAATATTATGATGATCTTTAAAATATATGTAGATATTCATATTTCTGTGTTCCTTTAACATCTTTTCGTAGGTCATTTTAGGAGGTGATTTGTTCAGATTAAGCTTTAGATGGATGTTATTCGAGAGAAGAGCGAAACCATTTCAGCATCTTCATCGATCTGCGACTCTGAGTACGATCAATAATTAAATTTTCCGCTGCCGTCGAGAAAAGTGACACCAGACGGGCGCAGGGAAAAGCATTTTATTCTACAATTAATCAAATATAACATTTTACTTACATACTGTTTATTTCTATATTTTCGTACCAACACGCCTAAAACAAAATTTTTAAATAATAAAGCGATATAGTGGTGACCTACATACCCAAGGCTTAGCTCAATAGATATGGGGATCTAGAAACTTGTTCAGGTCAGAGAGGCTCCAAGCAGGAAAACGTATTTACAGTTCACGCACATAAAAATTATATCCATACCGGAATTACTTTATTTCTACTCAACTTTGAAATATAATGTTTATATTTTGGGCAAATACAATCACAAGGGGTTGCTAAAAATGATGATAAACTATAAGAAAGGAGATGAGCCTATAGCAGATGATTGGTACATTGATTGACCCCCAGAACGAACAAAATCCGCTGTTCGTTGCACCTCCCACGTACACTATTCCTTACATCATGGCGGCAGGTTTGATTTCTGAAGATGAATTCCGCTACTTTACCCAACATTTCTTGTCTTTGAATGCAAAGAATCGAGATACCTGGGAACTAAGAGAGTCTATAGTATGTCTGAACCCAATGTTTCGCCATATAAACTTATTCCCTAATATAGGACGTTGTTTTCCACCGCCAAGGTGGAGAAAGGAGTACCTGCTTTTTACCCGCTTGTCATTCGTTCGGAACTCATCTAGATATCTGTTATGATCACATAGAAAATTCAAGAATCCGAATTGCTACACGTTTTTTCGGGGTTGTCTCAAAAACAAAAGAACTGAGGCTTTACCCGCGATGACGGTAAAGGGACGCACGGTCCAATGCACATCATTGTTCTCATTTCTGCTGATGATCACAATGCAGATATGGACACGTTCTAGTCTCGTTTTATTGTATAAATTCTCATTTCTTTCAATGTGCATTACTTGTGTATGGCAAGATTTTAAATCAGCTCTTTAAAAGTTTTTTTTTTTTTTCACCAATTTTAAAATTCATAGCCCATTTCAGGTATACATACACTTACCTGTTCTGCTTTCCACTATTATATATAATTATTAGTTATGCATCATGCTGCTATATATTTTACCTGTAGTATTACAATATTAACTACCATGCTGAATTAATATGTAGCAAGATTTTAAAATCCATAATGTATGCATTGTGTAAATAATATACATTATGTATACTGATTATTAAACATTGTAATATCTAGTATTCAATTTTTTTCATATAAGTATGTCTTATTTAATAATACATGTACATCATGTGGCAAATCTTCTTTTCTTCAGGTCATTGATTGATGTTAACATCATTTAGGTTGTTGGCAAGTTAAAAATAAATTAACTGCAATTTTTCATACAAATGCAATAAGTATTTACAAATTTATACAATGCACAATTTCAAGCTAATCAATGATGATATAATATGGGATTTGTTTTTACCCCTGATTTGGTGTAGCTGAACATCATTTGACAAGAAAGGTTGCAGTGGTCTTTTGGTAAAGGATTTTGTCAGTCTATATCACTAGTCCTCCACCCATGGGTTGTGGGTTTGAGGCATATGTCGAGCAGTTGCCAGGAACTTGCCATAATGTCGGTAATTTTTAACAGGAACTCTGTCTTTCCTCCACCACTCAAACCGGACATACTTAAATGAGCCTTACTGTCAAAGTGACAAAAAAGCGATAATAAACTAGCCTTTTGAAAAATGTGATTGGCAATAAGTTATGAAATCCAATGATTTTCACATATAATGTGATGAATAGAATCTTATATTGGTATCTGTTAGTGTAGAAATCATCGATTTAAAATAGTATTTGTCATGAAAAACATATTTAAAGAAGGAAAAGATGATTTATTGGTTGGTGACTGTGTTATTCTATACATTGATTTAATACTTAAGTCAATGTAGTCATTTCAATAAAAACAATATTTAATTAATTGGCCAGAAAATCAATAATATTTTGCAAAATACAAAAGCATCATGAATATTTGTTTTAAAAGGACTAAAAGTGTTAGAATGTTAGTTGGACAGTACATATACTTAGGTATGCAAATTCATTATTCTAAAACAACTATAAAGTGTTGCTACAGCTTAGTCTGTCAACCATAGGGATGTGCAGTGCATTATTACTAGGTCATATTGATCTTCAACTGATGGTCAAAGGTTAAAAAAGGACATCATTTCTGTTGTGATGATTTCCTATATATTTACAATATGTATCACCAATAGGCATTGTTGACTGTAATGTTACCACCGACCTTAAGCTCAAGGTTATTGTTACTAGAAGTAACATTTTATGAAAAATTTCTTCTGTTAGATATAGTTATTTTGTTTCATGTCAAGGTCATGAGAAAACAGGTCAAGTTCAAGGTCAAATATATCATCTTTTACTGGTATATATTTTCTTCTGATATTGTGAAATGAAGCCAGGTCCAGCCTTTGTTGAGGGTTTCAACCCGGTATCCTGGAACTGGTGGACAGCAGGGGAGAGAAGTCCCATAATCTTCCATAGTTTGCTTCCAGCTGCTTTCTCCTCTCTGCATCCACAGCCATCGTAATGCTGGTTCTGCCTAATTCCCCTACTCTCTCACTGCATTTTTCCTTTTTCCTCCAGTGATTCCCAAGATTCCTGGCATCTTCCAGCTTCCAGATTTGACCAGGAATCCTCTGCAGTCTATTTCCATATGAAAGTTCCATGCTTGCCAGCCTTTTCTGCCTGACTCCTCGGTCAATTCAGTATACTTGTTCTTCTTACATTCATGTACTGATTCACATTTTGTCTCTACGGGCACAGTCTGTTCAACCTTCACCAGTTTTTTCTTCCTGGGTGACAACAACGTAATATCTGGTTGCAGGATCTGTGGAAAATCCAATTTCTTCAAGACTTGTATGTCCCAGTCTTCTGCACCTCCTAGAATACCCTTGTTGGCATTCCTTGTTGTCTGCGATGGTGCCAGTCCCTCTCTGTGGAACTGGAGGAATGTTAGTCCCTATTGTATTCCCTGTGCCTTCTTCTTTTCCCTTTCAAAGGATTGAGCAAGTTGCCTTAACACCTGGTCATGTCTCCATGTGTATCGGCCCTGTGCCAGTGCTATCTCTTAGGAAGAGAGAATAAGTTCCAGATTCCAGGCCTTTCATGTTGGTGACATAAAGGATCTTCCACCAATACCCATGTGTGTAAATCTGTAGATGTGTAAAACTGCCATGGTGTGCATCTCCAGATCTCTGCCCTTTGTGATCTTTAACTTTTCTGTCTCCCATTTGATCCATGCCCCGTGATTTTGATTTCCAGGGCTTTCACCTTCCTTGCTTCTTCTTGCCTGATCTGTCCTTGCTCTTGCGTTTTCCTCATTATAACTTCTTTCAACCTTGGTGATTGCCCTCTTCCTAATCCTTGCCATCTGATCTACACAACTGACAAACAGACAACATTCAGTCACTTGACCACTGGTCAAGGTCACTACATTAAAGGTCAAGGTAGAATTTTAAAATCTAATAAGCAAGAATTTCTTTCTCTCATGTAAATGTAAAATAAATCAGAGAGGCATAAGAGTCTTAATGAAGGTCAGGATCGGGGTCAAATATCAAAAGCTAGTTTATCTTTTTACTGGTAAATATTTTGTGATAAACGGAATATTCTTGGCAAATAATGGACATGCTTTCAGTGATGAAACAATTTTCCAGTAACCTGTATACCATTATTTTCCAGAATTATCAGTGCTTATAAAAGATTAATCAGTTTAATGGCAGAAGAGTTTGTAAAACAAAGATGTTAATAAACCCAACATTAGCACTATCACTGAATTTAGGGTTCTGCACAATGGGACATAGTGATATGAAGTTTGAATTTTTCTGACATTTTGTTCCATACTATAACTAATTATGGACATGGAAAAATAATTTTCAACAGTATAGGGGACCATCTCTATCCTAATTCATTACAATCAAACAATATCGAAGTATTTAGATTTAAGTTTCATGATGTAGAACAATGACTTAAAGCTCAGTACAAGGTTTCCAAATTTTTGGAGTTGCCAGTTGTCCACTTTTGCTTTCTTGCTTTCCATCATGCTGTTAAAACATGCAGAAAGCAAGATGCTGTGGGTCAATCAATTCTACCTTCATGTTTTCAAATTATGGCGAATTTGATAGGTCATACACATAATATGACAATATCACTTCTGGTGACATAGGATGTCACCATAGCGACCCTCCTGTCCGAATGACTCGGGCTCCTTTACTAGATTGTAAACGTTTTATGGCTCCGGTAACATTTTATGGGTGTGGAAATATAGTGTTGCTTTTTTTTCTGTTCATTGCATCTCGTCTCAATGTGTCCTATTCCAATTCAGTGTCATGTCCTCACCATATTTTGGGGATGTCCTCACCGGGATGTCCTCACCATATTTTATGGGGATGTCCTCACCATATTTTGGGGATGTCCTTCCATGGTATTCCATCCTGTAAAAAGCACATTTTAGTATGACTTCAGTAAAAATCCAGAAGAGCTAGAATGAATGAAAATGCATCATACAGCTGTTTCATCCTTCTAGGATTCGTCAGTGATGCTAAATGCCTATATTTGGGTAAAATACATGTATATGTTGACAAATATTAAGGGTAAAACCTTTGGATTTCAAATATGTAGAATCAGGAATATTTATAAGATGATAAGAATTCTTCTTCATATACCTGTTGTTTTTATGTAGTTTTCAATGACGGGGGTACATATCTTGTCACCCTGACATAGTTTAAACTTTATTATTGTATTCCAGCATTGTATAATTAACTTGTTCTATAGGTCTGGAATTGATGAACTCTGTGTTGGGGTCTGTGCCTTTATCCAGCTTTGTTTAGAGTTCAACTTTTTGTGCAAATGTTGAATATCTTTTGCAATATCTGTATTACATCTATCATATACATATTTGTGGCTCTGAAGAATTAGTCTGAGATTAAATATACATAAATTCTTTATTAGTGGTAAGTAATTTTTTATGCAAGGCTGAATTAATTTGGTAAATAGCGGTCTTGCTTGTGACAAAAAGTCTCAAAAGAGATATTATGGTGTCACTTTCTTGGCTGTGATGATCAAATTTATGTCCAATTTCATCCAAACTCCATGTGTACATCACAGTGGAAACTTCAACATACATGTCATTCACAGAATATCCAGATTTTGCTGTCTGATGACTCCAAATTGTGAAAGTAATAAGGATTTATTTGACAATATCAGTTCATAGAACAAGGCATTGCAAAACATACAAATCTCCATGTGTTAGGAACTAATTGGAAATGCAAATATGTTTAACAGCACATTAAAATAGATCATATCAAAATAGAAAATATTTTTTATTGTTTAATAATTATGAAAAATTAATGACAGATTTCATAGTTTCTATTTCATGTTGTCGACAACGAAAATTCTAATAAAATTAAGGGAGACATTTTATACACAAAGAGGCGAAGATGTGAACTGTTAGAAGAGATGACTGTTGTGGCAGGGAATATGAGTGTGTTTTTAGCTTCATTACAATGGAAGAAAATGTTGGAGGTTGGCAGAGTGAAGA